TTTACAAATAAAATGCTTTTTTTTTATTCGTTTTTAAGGGAAAAGCAAATAATAAGCAATTTTTGTTTTCTTTTCGTTTATCGTGTAATAAATATTAATTTTTGTTTATTATTATAGAAGAATTTATTTCCGAATTCCGATCATTGCCGAATGAATAAATAATAATTAAGAAGTAACAATTGAAATTGTATTTATAAGTAAGAAATCAATTTTATTATTTTAAATAATAGTCTCTCATTTCATCTTCCAGATAACAAATAATTTTGTATTTAAATAATCGTTTAAATGAACGATATTTTATTCAAAAGATTTCTCAATGCTGTCTGTAATCGACCGGCAGTGATTAAATCTAATTAATATTTCAGATACCATTGATCAGAGTTCAGAAAGAATTGTGTGACAAATTGAAGTTTTTCGTCGGATTTTATTCCTCGACGCTGCGAATGTCTGGAAGCGTGAACTTGGTGTTCGAGCATGGTTCATCGGAAGCGACCATATGTACACTTTTCTTTATTTATAGACCAAGTTTGTTCTTTTGCACATTCCAGCAATGTTTCGTCCTTGCACGAGGCTCGACAGCGACCAACAAGTATTACTACTGTTCGACTGAAGATTCCGTGAAATAAATTTCAGTATTTAGGGAAGCTCGTTTAACATTTTTATTCAACTTTCAGTGCTACTATTTCCTTAATTAGGTATACGGAGCCCTAAAAGCAGAGTTATGCATCGTTTAAGTAAATGCTCTTTTAAATGATTATTTAAGTAAAAAGTTATTTTCTATTTGGAAGTGTAAATAAAAGGCAAAATTAATTACTTGTTGTTTACATAGATCTCTACATAAATTATTTAAAATAATAAGATTTATAGTAATTCAACGTGGATTATTTAGGTATCATCATTTTTATATTATGTTTCTATTTGGAAAATTCAGGATAAGTTACTTATGTGTATTAAACAGGATATTTTGTCGTATAGCGTAATTTTTACAAGAGCGATTCAAATCGCGGCGTTGCTGGAAGAATTTAGGACGTTGGAGAAAGTAATATTCATTTCGCGCTATATAAAATGTATTCGACTATATATTTCGCGAGAAACTAAGCGCAACTAATCTATATTCTTTTATAACAATGATAAGGTTAAATGTATTTAAACTGAATTGAACTTTTAGAAGATGTTAGACGAACTAGTTTGCTAAGAATTTCTACAAAAATTGCAATTAGTTGAAATCGGTAAAAAGGATTCAAAAATGGTGTTGTTTAACCTTAAATATTTTCCTCATACTTTTGGGATCTCGTGCACTCAAAAATGATTAATTTGTGGTTTAAAATTCTAATTTAGTAATTCGAATAGAAAATTGTAATCTGAGCACAGTTTTCAATGTGTAGGATCGTTCTCTAGGCCTTTCGCTTTCGGCGACCGAACGTTTCGTTGTCGCCAGGGTATAATACCGAAATGAATTTCATGGAACCGACACGCGTTTGTGCTCCTGTTTCTATTTCACCAGCGGGTAAAAGTAGGCGTGTTAGAAGCAATTTTAGGCTCGCGCGTTTGTGAATCAGAGATTTCTAAGGGATGATGCACGCTTAGGGCATGTGCAAAAGTAGAATGTACTTTGCAAATTTCTTCGCGGATGGTGGGAAATGATTTTTTATCGAAAAGTTATTTTCGGAACCTTTACAATTCCAGATTTAACATAAATATTTAGTAATACGGTTCTAGCATAAAATAAGCGTGTATTGAAAATTATAGCAAGACTTCAAAGAGCAGTTATAAAAGAAAACACTTAGGGTAGTGGATTTGGTTTGTTCTCGGGCATTAGTAACGTTACAGTTATCGAATAAGACTTACTATATTTTTGTATTCTTTTATTTCATTTATTTTTTAATTAAAACATTTTTTATTCTTTTATCTTTTTTTCTTTTCTTTTCTTTATTTCTTTTTATTTTGACATATTAAATTTTCTTATCTTTCTATTTTATTTATTTTGAATATATTATATTTTTGTATTCTTTTATTTTCTTTGTTTTTGACACATCAAATTTTTTTATTTTTTTTCTTCGTTTACTTTTAAGTAGAAAAATTTGATATGTTTTATTCGTTAAGTATAAAGTCAAAGCGAAGGGCACGATTAGCCACTCCACAGTAACTGGCTCCACAATCCCAGCACCTCAGGGTGCTGTAGTTCAGTCGAGCTGAATAAGTGAAAGATTTCAAAAGAACTAATTGATTTCGTTTATTGTGCACGCATGATTGGTGATAAAGGACGGAGAGGCGAAATCCTTCGTCGCCACAGCGTCCAAGCTGGCCGCCGTGGAAGATGCGGCTCCGAAGGGGCCCGAGGCTTCGATTCGATCGAAGACCACCGCACTCAAAGTATCGCCAACGGCAAAGGCTGCCCTTCAGGCCCTCAGAACCTCGAGGGGCAAAATACCACACCCACTTACCTCACCGTCGGTCACCACCAAAGACGCTGAAACTATCACGGGTGAGTACACGAAATTATTTCTGAAGCGCGTAGATATATTACAGACATGCATAGGGTAAGGATCCTAATTACCGAGGTTCTCTGGAATACCGCCACTTTCATTTATTTTAATGATAATCGTAATAATATGACAAAGAATAATAAACAAAAATTTTTTTTCTCGAGTTCATGTCGCATCGACTTTGAAGAAATGTTAATTTTAACGTTTGTTATTATTTTAATAGAATGTAACCATTTAAATAGTCCATTGTTTTACTGTAAATTCTGAACAAAATTATTAAATGGTACTAGTACCAAATGGTTCCGCTTTACCCTCCGTTTACCGATATGGCTGAGAAATCGAATTTATGTAAATGGACATGGTTTTAAATAGCTAACATTTAGTCGACTAAAATAATGTTCTTATACTATAAGAATCATTTGATTTTATAATGAAAGTATAAATGTTAATATTTCTTTTGCACTCTAGAGAACTGAGCAATACAAAATGAAATCAAAACTTAATTTTTACGTAAATTTCAGCTAAAAAAATATATAGTATATATAATATATATATATATATAATATACTACATATCATATATATTATAGTATATATACTATATATACTAAAAAATATATACATATATGAACGAAAAATTATCCTTAATGTGTCGGTAATTAGGACTCTTGCCCTAGAGTAATTCGTCCAATCAGTGAACACTTAAGCTGCAGATTAACAGATCTGCATATTTTTTATTAAAAATAAATTTTTTCGTTTCTATAAATAATCATTCCCTAATAATAGTGCATTAAAATTGCCTAGAAGTTTGTATATTATTTAGTAAACGTTTCTTACAAATAAAGCTTGACAATTGTTGAAATTATAAAAATTCTTTTATAATTCTTTTATAATTCAAAATCGCGAAAAGAGAAAGAATTAAAGAAGAAAAGAAATATTTTCACATTTTACATTTGGTTCTTGTAAATTTAAGTTAGGCACCTTGTCCCTAGCACAGGAAATAAAATCGAGCCTACTTTCCACTTTACATACGTTGATAATGAAATTGTGAATATGCAGAAAAACATCTGCAGTCTAGCGATGAGTGTGCAGATGTCAATCGCCATGAGTGACGATTGCGAATAAGATTATACAAAAACGGAGATACATACATAGTTGCGCGTGTAAAGTTAATCTGAAAGCATGGTAATTGAGACGGGGCAAGAAACAAGGTTCGTAGTCCATGTCATAGTAGTTGAGTAGCGAAATAACGAGAGATTATTATAATGAGCGTTCTTACATAGTGGAAAGTGAGTAACGAGAACGATACAGAAAATCTAGTCGTCTGTCAAGCATCTGTCCGGAAGAGAATCGAGATTTTTAATCAATTTTGATCACTGTACTTGCATTTTGAACATTTACTGCGTTCTTAATATGTAAATATTAATCAATATAAGAATTTATATTTATATTATTTATTATATTATATTATATTTATGTAAATTAAAATTTGTATATATAAAAAGTATATTGTATACATAAAATATTGTATATATATATACAAATATATAAAAAAATATATATTTTTTTATATATAAAAATTCTAATTCTATAAAAATTTTAATTTACATAAATATAATATATAAATTTAGATATAAATAATATACATATACATAATATAGAGTTTTATCCGGAAATCCAGAATATCTCAGGAATATTTTATTTATCTCAGTATATATATAAAATACTTTATCAAAAGTTGTTTGGTGTGACAAACAGTTTCTTTGTTGGCGAAAAACTGAAGGAGTTTACAAGGTCATGTTGGTTTTTTTAAATACAATGCTGTATTCTCGTATAGAGACTGTATTATAGTACAATTTAATATGAATCCATCGAAGTCATTTATGTCAAAGGAACCGTGGAAAATCGTCGCCTAATCGAGCCATTTTTGGATACGAATTTCTGTAATCTAATTTCGAAAATCTGTATTTGCATGAACCTTCCACGAGATCTTTAGCATGCGAACAAGTTATCAAGGACTTATAATGCCTGCAAGACATTTATACCGCGTGTCACGTCACTTTGCTTCAGTCTATCTGTTTATTCATTTTTTTTTATACGTGCTATTACAAATATTATTTACCTTTCAAATTAGTTTCTTACTGAATCCTAAAAAAAAATTCTGAACAGAAGCGGTAAAATTATTATTCTAGCTTATAAAAGGCTCAGAGAAATGATTATACATTATTATATGTAGCTGTTGCAAATGATTTTCTTTTCAAATGTCATTTTTATTGAATTTTGATAAAAAATCCTGAACAGAAGCGCTGAAATTGTAATTACAATTTAGCTGTCACTTTAGGGAAACTTACGCATATTCAATTCTAGGCTGACATCTGGATAGTATTATCAGTGTAGCATAGATCGAATTTTAAGCGTTTGCAGTAATTGATAAGGACTCACCTGTTTTAAAATTAACCACGTTGCACACGTAAACACAGCAAACAGTTGAGATTCACGTAACTATGATATTATAATTATCCTTTTCTCATTCCTGCAGCGATTCCTTCGAACAATTTACACAAGCACCGCACGTTCGCACCAAATGAACATGTTAAATTTTTAATTAGATGTTCCCCAGAAATTCGAGTATACACCGGAAAGAAATGTTCTATGCTTAGTGAAGTCGAAGAAGGTACTATCCTCTCCGATCTTGAGTACGAGTATTTTATGGTAGCCCGTGAACCTCCATGGCGCACAGCATTCTCCGCTGACAAATGATGATTACTTTTCTCGATCATTGTCATCATTATTATCGTTAGGGTCGTCGCCGTCGTAGTCGTCATCATCATCATCATCATCATCATCATCATCGCCACTACCATCATCATCATCATCATCATCATCATCTCTCTCATCCACGTCGTCGTCATCATCATCATCATCATCATCATTGTTGTTGTTATTGTTATTTTTGAAGTCATCAAACTGAGATATCCGCTTAACCTTCCTTTTGATTGAAAACAAAAGTGAAAAAGAATTTGGAATATTTTCTTGTTTTAGGAATAATCCATAGTTATATTAATCCAATAATCTTTATTATTTCATAGGAAACAGTTGTTTCTTCATATATAGAGTGCGAAGAAAATTGTCCCTATGTCTGTAAAGCGACGTGCATAATTATAGACATCTGAATGCATAATTATAGATATCTGAACGAAAACTTATCAAAATATTATTTTTCTATATTTCTATGTTTCTATATTCTCATATTTCTATTTTCTATATTTCTATTATTTATATATTGCTATATTTTTATTATTTCTATTATTTATATATCTTTATATTTCTATTTTCTATATTTCTATACTTCTATATACCTACATATCTATTTTCTATATTTCTATTATTTCTATATTGCAATATTTCTATATTTCTATTACTTCTAACATAAAACTGAACGAAACATCATGTTTGTACATTTCTGTTTGAATGCTTACCAAGGAAAAGAGTGCCACAGAATTCGATCGAGAAACATTGAAATTCCGAGACGTAATTGTTATGATTTTACAATGACGATGTAAGCTCTCGTATCTGAACATCTATTATACAATCATCTTAATAACTGAATGCCCTGCTGCCGGCGTACCTTCCTCTATTCGACCGAGTGAATTCTAATCACCTCGACTTACAGAACGTGACAAAACGATAGCGCATACCACGAAATTACTTGTTTTATCATTTCGAGATAGCGTATATTGTCTTGCTATTTTTAGTAGTGTTTAATAGAGGTAACGCATTATTTTTGACCTTATTACTAGACTGCAGATTTTTACGTATCTATAGTTTAATTATGCGCTTAAAATATAGAAAAACTCGTATTTTTTTATAGAAAAATATGATTAAACGTTAACGACATTTCGAATTCTACTTAGTATGAAACTTTTAATTTTAGCATAATTCATCTAATTATTATACCTTTCTACTTTTACCGTAAGGTATTTTCTGATTGGAATTTGTTCCGTATTTTT